TAACGCATATTGCGAGAGCTGTACGTACACGGTGGAAACGAGTTTCGGTCTCTCGAAGACAGGCTGTTAGAGTGAAACTGACAACAACAGATTAGCGACGGTAATCGAATGCGGTAGTCGACGAACGTTAGCAGGAAGAAGGGAAACAGTGCAGGGTTGTTTGCGAGAGAGAATCGATTGTAAATTCGACGTCGAAATTCCCGCAACCGTTATGACAACGATGCAAATATTATCCCAAGAATGCCGTCGTTGTTCTCGAAGCACGAACAAGCGTGGAACGTTCGTTTAGGTGGCAAGAATATCGTATTACCGTCCAAAGTGGCAACACCGTCGAGCAACCCTTTTCGTGGGAGGTGATCCTGAAACGAGATCGCCCTCCGAAACCTCACGCGAGATTTATACCCTTCGCGGTCTCTCGTTACTTCCTGTTTGGGACCAGTCCCTCCTTTCTTCTTCGTCTTTCCTGCACGCCCGTCGTGCCAGCCCGCCGATTCCTCTTTCTCCATTTCCCACCGTGGTGGCCGAGGTATATTTATGAAAGATGTAAATAACGACCAGGATAATTTTCTCGGGAGATCCGAGTGCACGCTTGTTTACGACGACGCGTCGATCCCCTTTCCCCGCAATTTCCCACGAACCCTCTAGGTGCTCGTTTGTCGGCGTCGTTCGCGAACGCGTCGCCCCGTTTGCCGCCCTCCCCTCCGAGTCGGCCATCGAGACGCCAACAAACGGACTCCTTGATTCGTGCTTTATGCGGGGGAAATTGGCTGGAAAATATGCCGATAAAAATCGCTCACTAAAGGAGAGAAACGCGCGGGAGCAAAGCCGAGGTTCCCAACTTTAACGCGATTAGTTGTTCCCATGGGTGTAGCTGGGAGGACCTTTCCTCGAGGGAAAAAATGGCCTTTACCATAACCTAGAAGGGAAAAAATTGGATCTCCCCTCTCCTTCCCTGTAAAGGAGAAAAATATTATATTAACTAATGTTTTATATATGAAGAATCTAAAATCTATTTGAAATAATATTATGAAACCTACCTTAAGATAAATTTTACTCTCCCTTGACTGATGACCTAGCTATCAGCTTCTCTGATACAACGCCAGTTGAAAGGTAAACGTGACAAATTAAAAGAACAGGGAAAATTTCGGACAATCTTTCCAGGCGGGTTACGAGTGCATCAAATTCCAGTTCGATCGATTGAACTCTCCTCGGTGAAGCGAGTTGCATACTTACGACGGTTTAAAGAAGGATTCCTCCATTCGAGAAATAACGCAGCGGTATACGTAATACCGGAATTAGAGAAACGAACGGGACATGCGCCTCCGGGAGCTTTACGAGGTACACTTTTCCCCGACGAGAGAAATCCGAAGGGGGTAAAAGAGAGCCAGCAACCGACACCAGGTTCCCCGGGACCGTGGCGTGATTCTCCAAAGAAACGTCGAATCCTTCGAAGGCACGAAATCACTTTAGCGAAATAGGTGTGCGGAATCGCCTTCACCGGATTACCAGAAACCACCCCCGTCCCCACCCCACCGCCACCGTCTGTCGGCTCTCTAACCGGGCTTCTTCGCAGCCTCTTTTTACCCAACGGAGAAATTCTCTGTAGGGTAGCTACCTCCTGCTGCGCCTTTTACGCTCGTTCAACCCGCATCAACCCCAATGATGACTGTGAGCCATGGCGCGAACAACCAACCCTGTACGACCGGGCCTCGACTACTCATACCTCCAAAGAGTCTGCAATGAATCTCGAAGTTAACAACTTTTTTCCCCGCGCAAAAGGAGCTCGGCCAGCTGCGGTAAGAAGGGAGGCGAAAGTCCGAGAACAAGAGATAGAGCCTTCCAGAGTGGAAGTGGTTGGTCGCATGAACAGGGGATGGAAAAGGGGGCGGGAGGAGACGGCGGTGGTTTGCTCGAGGAGCCACGAGATCGATCGCACCGTTCTGCGATCTATTTCGTTGCTCTCGAAGAGATTGCCGTTGCGTCTGCATTACTCAAGCTCTCGCTCGTGTTATCAGGGCCTTTGGCCCAGGGGGCTGTGTACCCTGGCCGTTTGCTCCTCCGACCGATCACCGTACGTACGTACGTACGTACGTGCACCACTGTATACACGACGTTTACGAAGAGAGCTCGGTGTGTATGGGTGCTCGTCGATGTGCCGTAGGCGCGCGATTGTGTGGACAGAGGGGTGGGAGGAAAGACGGGGGTGGGCCGCGGGGTGTGTCTGCGGGTGCATTACGCTGATTGCTGGTCGCGGCCCCTCTCTCCGGAGAGAACAGAGAGGCGAACGAAAAGGTGGAAAGGTGGTGGCGTGGGTGGATCCTGCCTGGAGGAACGAAGACGCCGTCCTGGAGGCCGTGAACCAACGTGAAAGGAGGGGGAAAAGGGAATAAGGGCCCTCTTTCCGTTAAGTAAGTGAACGTCGGTACCGTTCCCGGACGGTCGCGCGCGGATTTTAATCCTTTAAATGAATGAAGTCACCGGTGACGGTGACTTGCCCTCTGATCCTCTCCTCTCCTCGATTTCTCCTGTAGAGAAGACATCCAACTTACCTTGCTTGATGGTGTTTTTCTTGTCCCGAGTTCTTCGTTCGTTGATGCACCGATCGGCGAAACATTTTTGAAGTATTACTCGAGAAGCGTCAAGAACGAATTAGAGGGAAGTACTTTGGACTATCTGGAAGCTTATGATTTATGAGTGAAAAGAATAGGTTGTAATAAATTCAAAAGGTTGGAAATTTTTTTCAAACTGAACCACCGCGGGAATATCATCTACAAGATTCAAAAGGTTTCAACTCGATTGGTCCATTCGTTGCAGAGTAATCGCTGGACATGCATAAAAAGGCATACAGTAAATCATCGATGAGTGTTGGAAAGCTCCTCGCCACTGAACATTGAATATTTCATAAACTAATGGCCATATGCGGCTGAAACAAATATCATTGGCTTTAGAATTCCAAGCTCTATCCCTGTGCTGAACCCTATTAAAAAGTCAGCGTTATCACATGGGGACCTCTTCTTGTCGGTGCCCAGGCGCCTTCGAACATTCATCGATGATTTAGTGTATACATATACACATCGAATTGTATGCCTTCTCCTTTTCGAAGTCTGCCAATGAGAATTGTTGCATGCTTCCTTTCCACGGAGAACTCTTGATTCGCCCTCCTGGGGATAAAATGTAGGAAAATACTTTAAGTCACGCGACACGAAGTACCAACGCCTTGTTTCTCAGGTTCCGTTGAGAAAACAGAGATTCGTTTCTCGCGTAACTGGATTTCCACTTGTCCTCGGACCTCCCACGGGGTGCGGGGGATGGTTAAGTGAAAAATCGAGGGGAATAGTACCAGAGGAGAGCGCGTAATACGCTAATACAACGTGTAATTGCGTACGCGTCGCTTCGTCTCACGACGTAGAACGTCAACGCGCCAGCAACTCATTATTCTTCTTGTCCTAGGGGCGCGCCTGGTTCTGTACCGTGCCCTGCATCTCCCCCTCACCCCTTTCATCTACGCTTCGCGCAAATAATCATCGCTAGGACTTCCCATTGTATTATTGTGTCTGCTGTTGAATGATAAACTGCTGCAGCTCCCGCGGAAACTGTGTCGCGTTCATTACTAATATAGTCGCGGGACGGGGATTCGGATATGCTTACGTGTGTACGTAACAAAAATCTAGTTTCCTCTCGGAGTTACATGAAAGCATACTGTGATGGAAACCGTGGCGAAGCTGCGGTGCGAATTAAAACGAACCATTCGGAATTATACGCTTCGAAGAACTCGCAGTTTTGGTTAAACATTCCGACGAGGGCGAGCTTGAAACGAAAAAAAGCGGCGAAATTGAAAGTTTCGAGGGACGCGATCGATTGCGAAGATGTTGGAATAGTGACCGAAAAAATCGCAATTCCCTGGGCAAAAGACTCTGCGGAACTAACTCAAGGAGGATTTACCATGGCGCGCAGAGAGTCGGCCAGGGATTACGGAAACTCGTTAACCGGTTAATGGCTTTAAATGACGAACGACGAGATTTTTCCGGGGGTAAACCGGTGGTGGGATGGAGCGGGGAGGGAATCCGAACGGCGTGATCCAGTTTAGCAGCGGCGCACAGATAATGTACAAGCGGTATTATAACGGTGTGGCCTCGATAACCCATCAGCCGAGAGGGAAGGAGGTGAAAACTGGCCTCTAAAATAGGGGGTTGTAGAGGTAGGGGGTGAACGCGGAGTGGTAGGAGGCGGATAGATTATATGGGCACCGTGGAGGATCGATCCTTGAATTACGGCCACATTATGACTGCGAAACTTGCTAAGGCCGCACTTTCCTACCGACAGCGAATTAATCTACGAGAAAGAAGAGATGAGCAGCGCGGCGGCTCCGAGGCTCGAACCCCCGGAAGCCGATGATTCATTTCGAAGGGAACGCGAACGCTTCGACGAGAACAGATCGAGGTGGAGGAGACGATGAAAACGAGAGGGAAGCCAGGGTAGGGAGAATTCCGGTAACGAGGTACGATCGACGTCCCTTCATTCGTCGATTAAAGCGATCGCTCAAAACGCTGACACACACCGGTCATCTGTTGCCGAATCCGTTTGCTGCCACTTCAAGTCCCGAATGTTCGGTTCAAACCTATTGCCTGACGCTTCAAGTTTTCCCGTTGTTTATTTCAATTTATTGTTGCCCCGTAAACTCCGAAAAGAACACCCTAAATCGAAGGTCTCACGAAAACCTCGAGTAAAGAGAGAATAAGAGAGAATAAGAAAACCTTCGACGGCGAGAGGAAATTGTCCAGGTCAGCAACGAAGCTTTAGCCAAAGCAAACGTGCAACCATGAATGAAAAAAAGGGCCAGGCAAAAGGGACGGTGGTTCGCGGCTGGGGAAAGGTGGAAAACGGAAGGATGGGATTTGGTAGAGCGTACAAGAGATAAAGTGGGTTAAAGGGAGAAGGGTTCGGTCGATTGATTGGCACTGCATGTAACAAGAACTGAACGAGAACCCGAATTGTTTCAGCCAATCGGCATGCACTTGAAGAAGTACGAGTGGGTGGGCTCTCCGGATATCGGCGACTGCTCGCTATGGGTACGCTCGGCGACCCTGGAGTTCGACGACGGACTGTGGCAGTGCCAGGTCACAGCCAGTGACTTCACAACGCAAGACGCGTTGGCATCCGAGCCGGCGAGGCTGGTCGTCAGGGGTAAGTTCTAATAAAATAAAAATAATTTTTGTGCACGAAACAGTCGATAATAAGTAGACTGCGGATTTTATGCATTTATAGCCTATAGGGCTTTGTGCAATACAACAAAGAACAAAACTTTCATCGGATCCAACGAGTTTTCTACTTTATTTTGAACCCAATGAGATGCTTCAGAGGGCAAATAAATTTCTACGATTGCTCCTATCTTTATAAATTCCTTCGGAAACTTTTATTTTGCATAAAAATCCGCAGTCTAATTGATAAGATAAGACTCGATAAGTCTTGATTACGCTTAAACTTTAAACGGTGGAATTTTTCGTTGGAAATGTGTATCTACGGGCGTAATTGAAATCAGGCGTTGACGAGTGTACTCGACAAACATAGAGACAAAGTTATTCAGAATGTTAATTTCTACAAGATATTCAAAAATCATCAGAATCAGTGAGGAAGTAGTTCTTCGACAAATTGACCGTAATCAGAAATGATCGTCATCGGATAAACGAATACTTTCGCGGTATCCAACCGCGGTAGAATCGACCGAAATTAACCTTCGCCTAATTTTCTCGTTCCAGTTAGTCCTAGGCGACCGCAGATAGAGTACGCGGATCGTCTAATTCTACCCGGCAGCAACGTGACAGCCCGAGCAGGTGAGATCGCTACGCTCACTTGCAGAGCGCGGTATGGGAATCCTTCGCCTCTAATTAAATGGTTCGTAATCGTTGCACCGTAGACACCGTACTACTTACCGTTCACCGCCGACCCCTTTCGCACCGGCCTACCCGTTTTCCCCCAACCACCCATGCGAAATTCACTTGAAAATGAAGGAGGAGGCTGTCGATCGATTCCATCGGATCGAGCTTCCGCGGGCTCGCCTCCGGTGTGGTTCGATTCGACGCCACTCTTTGTCGTGTTTGTTCGAATTTTTCGCTCGCAACCGACGCGAAGATAACCGAGGGGAATCGAACTTGGGGAGAACTAAGTGTATCTCGCTGGGGCGTTGTGTTTTCCGGTAACAGGGTTGCTTTTTAAAGAAACGTTTCAATGCGTCTAGATTGCGTGGTTCTCTCTCTATCCCTCTTTCTACTCGAAGTTCAATCAACTCAGAGAAACGGTGCTCCTTTTCAGGATTCATTCGATTAGCCCCCCCCCCCCCTCCAGGTTCTCCGAGTTGATTTCGTCCCGCCGACTTTCTACAACTTAATTCCAGGCAGTGTATTTCGCGCCTCCCAGTTGGAAGAACGAGCTTTCCCGGTGATCGAACGATTACCGCTGTAATTACTCCGAGTTTCCCGAGATCGAACGGAGCGTCTCGAGCTAAATATCCTCCTCCCGACCGACCATCCCTCGACAAGTAAAACCGGAGGTAGAGGGCTACACGCAGGAAACGTGAAATAGGGATTGCTAATCTAATTTTTAAATTCAATCCTCTGGTCGCTGGAGGCCAGCGCGATGGAAGGGAAACGAGTGGCTTTATGAATCGTAACTGCAGATTTAACGAACAGCAAAAAGAAACGAAGAGGAGAGATAGCTCGGTATTATTCTGAAAGTGGCAGAACCTCTGGACTCGTAACCATCCAACCAGCCTTCGCCAATACATGCACAGACCCCTCCTCGTTTGTTCGAGGCCCCGCCCCGGTTAGTTTTCCCCTCGCGAACATCCCCAGGCCCCTAATGCACCTTGTGGATCTTCTCCGATGGTAGCGGCACGGCTCTGTTCGACTGCCCCTATGAATAATCATGATCCACTCTCGGGGCTGGAGGTATCTATGTAGGCGAAGTTAAGGAGCTACAGGATTTTCCCGCGCTCCCGAGGCGTAGAAATAACAGAAAGCTCGACGGCGACGGATCGAAACGTGGATCATAACCGGCTCGAGGGGCCACGGCGTTCAAGATGATAAGCTACGCCGAGGAGGGAGAGAACGTTAATTAATTTATAGGCGAACGGAAAACCAGCCGCTTCGGTTCGGCCGAGAAACTTTGACTCGTCCCGGAAAGTTAGCGGGGGTAGCGACTCGGGGCGCGTGCCGGAGCAACCCCGCGGAATTTCGAGGGAAACTCGTTTCCCACACCATCGCCTACGTGTGGGGATCCCCTATCCTACCTGTCGCCTGTGAATCGACTTAATTGACGTTGCCGAGAGTGTGAATACGCGTCGAGCAGTTTGATCGCGTAGCTAAACTGCATCGAGAACTCGGGAATCTCTGCGGAGCTTCCGGGATTATATCGTGCGTTTATTAGTAACACGAAGAGATTTCTGATTTCCTGACGTCGCACAGTAGTCCAGAATGAACATTTAATTGTTAGTCATTTATTACTTCGCTGATAAGTTTTAGTGCAGCAACGCTATCTTCCTTTCTTCTAATTCTTAATAATTACCAATTTAATAAATAAATACACTGCTGTATGCAGGGAACTCTCCTCTATTTTTCAAGTTTAAAATGAACTTTCTAGAGATTTTGTTTTCACGTAATACGTCATTTTCCGAATTTTTGAGATTTCTGATACGAAACGCTCTAAGTTCGTGCATTAATCCATGGAACAAACCTTGATGGTTAATAAATCAATTTTATTTTTTTATTTTAACATAAAAGAAATTTGTGTTTGACCACTCAAACTAAATTTTAATTCTTGACCACTGTGCCCCGAGATTATTCCATCGATCCTCCTTTCCTTCTATTCGAGAATGTTCTTTTTTCATCGGAATAAACAGCTCCCGTAACCCCAGATGATCGTACACACGCGTCGTTATTTATTGCGATAATCCGTGCCCGCGAAACGGACGCAATCTGTGCAGTAAATAATCCCGGGTAAATGGATCCCGCCGTTTCTGTACAGACACGTATCGGTGAGAGCCGCGTCGAGGGTAAAGTTTATGGTGCCTGGAATGCACGCCTCCTCCTGCGGTCGCGTCGCCCTGGCTCCATTGACTCGCGGAGCCTCGATTTCGGGGCTAGAAAATCGCAATTCCCTCGCGACTCGTGCTACAACGTGACTCCTCCCTCCCCCCCCCCCCCCCCCGGGGGGGGGGGAACAACGAAATCTCCACTTTAGAACTCGAGATACTCTGAGATTCCCAAGTGGAGAGGCAAACCTCTCGGGGTGATTACCCGCTCCAATCTTTGGTTTCGCAACGAAGCCGAAGCACGAGAAGGGAAAACAGTTGGGACAAGGATAGACGTAACTAAAGAGAGGAATAGAGAGAGAGAGTTAGGGTGATAGTTTGCGTAGGTGAAGGGGGAACGGAGTGTAAGTCGAAGAAGAAGATTTAAGGGTGGGGGCGAGAGCGCGCGAGGGGTCGGTGTCCGTGGGATTTCAGCCCGTGCGGAGGTTGTTACAGAAACGGCCATTGGAAATGCAAATTTATCGGGGTGGGGGTGAAATTCCGCGCAGGTACGTGGGCGAGACCGAGCTGAGGACTCTGAGGCCTCAGGTAAACTCAACGGAGATAGATAATCCCCGGACTTGGGCGACGTACAGCATCTGCGAGATTATGGCGGAACGGTCACGTTACGGACAGCCGATTAGGTGCGTCGCGATTCATCCGGCGTACGCGAACCCGACCATGTCCTCCAGCACGGAAGTGAGATTCGACGTACGATGTGAGTATACACTGTTTTCTTTATTTTTCTTTCTATTCTTAGTGTTTACAGTTTGTACGTTATTTCGTAATATAATCTTTAGTCTCGATATTTTATTATTGTCAACGTATGGAGGATGTATATAGCAACCAAGAACCCGTCATATGGAAGCCACCGATCGAACGTCGACGACAGTCTGTCCGTGGACGATATTGAAAGCAAATATTTTTCTATCGGTTTGGCATTTTAACGGGAAAACGATCGTGGCCCGGCCGAGCAACGGGGATTAAGATCAGGCGAAATTAATTCCGGGAACTAGTTTAACAGACGATATATTGGGAGAGAGTTAGAACGGATCGTACCCGGAGGGTTTTAGCATAAACGGGATTTAAGTTTACCGTAAAGCGTCCCTTTATATTATACGTACGTCCTATAACGTTCCAGCGGCGCTTAATACTAATACGGATCATGGAACGGATTAATATTTAAGAATAACCGTCGTGAAAACACCCCCACTCGTCGAGGAAAAGAGATTCCGTTGGATAATAGTCGAGCAGCCAACTTTTTGCCCGTGGCCCCCGCGTCGGTGCGTTGCTTCAGCTTCTTTTTTAACGAGATTCTTGACGATGGAAACAATTTTCCCGGTAGAAGCGCGCAAGTAATTCCGGGATATCGGGCGGAGTTCGATCGCACGGTTGCCGGAATGCATCGAATTTGTTTGAATTGCGACGCGCGCGCGCGCGCGCTCCGAACGAAGCTAAGGCGAAGAGTGAAATTAAAATCACGCTGCCGTGGCTTTTGCTCGGGTAGGAGAACGGGGAAAAAAGGATTATTCCTTTCAGTATGGTTACGGAACGTTCTTTCCTTATTTGAGTGATCAGGCGAGTTACAATATCACGGAATACTAGTGCAAGGAATTAAACATTACTGTGTTTGTATGAATGAAGTCGTATAATTCATGTCATTTATCTTCTCGTCTTTACATCGTTCTTCTTACGTCTTCTGATATATTTATTATACCGTCGTAGGTACATATTAATAAACAAGCTTAAATTTAGAAAGCTTAATTATAGGTTAATTTTTAACCCTCTACAGCCTGAATTTTCTTCGTGACTATAACAAAATTTATACAACGTAAGACCAACAAATATTAACCTCTAAACACAAATTAACAATGAATTTAAAATTTTCAAAGATTCCATTATTACTCCGATATCTCGGCAAAAAGTTAATTAAACCAAAGAAATATCGATATATCGGTACTTGATTACAAAGTCACATGGAGCTATAATGCAAATTATCAGTACTATATTTTTATACCTGATGTGACTGTCCGACTAATCACGTATCAACGACGTTAATAACGCGTGAAACAAATGTTACTCACGGATCTGTGCAGTTAGGAACGTATTTACCGGTACCTACACGGTTATTTGCCGCGTAAAAACGCGGAAGAACGTTGGAGCAACAAATAAATCGGTGTTAACGACAGCCAGACAGGAAAGCTGCGTGTGCAGGGGCGAGCTGACCTCAACCACCCCTCCCCTCGCTGCCAACGAGCTCGGAACTACCCCCACCGTGCAGCAATTTAACTCTGTACACACGCCGCTAACCGCAAGCCCTCATCAATCTCCCTCAAAATGCCGCGTCCTGACATCCTGCTTTTCGACCTTATCGACAATTCGAGCTCCGCTGCATCGTTCGACGATTTTGAATCGGTTTTTGCGAAACACCGGTTCCGCGGGGGCAACAGTGACTGATGGCCAGCGAATCTGTTCGAGCCGCTCGAAAACCGTCGTTCCTCCTCTGGCTCACGGGGTAATCCAGAAAGATATCCCCTTGCTCGCTGAAAATCAACTTAATCGACAGAGTCATCGACCGGGAAACGAGGATATAAACGTTGTGTCCTGGTGGAATCGTAAAAAAAAAAGAAGAACCGGGAACAGAAGTACGGAAAAAGTTACGCGACGACCGGCAGATAATAAAAACCCGCGACGCTTGTGTTTTAGTGTTCCCAGCGAGGAAGAGTACGTAAACAACCGTTTTATAGTTTACACATTTCCCAGATTATCACGTTGGCAATTGGACTAGTTTATCCAGTTTATCAATAATTATAATTCCTCATCCGTTTGATCTATCAGTGGAAACTAACACAGTGGATAGAATCATGAATAATTCTACCCCTTTTCCTCTTTCGCAGCAGACTCAAAGTGGGTTATTTAATCTCAACAAACGGTTCATTTGTAATGAATCGCAGAGTCGATTGGGCGATCACAATTTTTAGTAAAATTTTTCCTTCTACCTACCCCGTGGAAATCTATCCCATGAAATCTCGATCGAACCCCATTCCCAGGACGATTCTCGCGGGATTGCCACGTTCTGGACGCGATTTACAAGTATTACGGATGAAAAACCGCAGGGGTGGCGACTGATCGCGTGTATTGATTAGGGGGGATTAGCCGGCTGGGACTTTTCCGACGCAAATTGAAAAGTTCGCCCAGGACCTGGAGATGCATTCGGATGTCGCGTCGACCCGAACCCCCGTCCCCACGGGAATTTCGAATCGTCCCGTCGTCGTGTCTCCACCCTCTTGCTCCTTGACTCCACCACCGCTCCTCGTCACCGTTCCGTGTTCTCAACACCCGACGTTTACTTTGCCGCAACGGCTGCCTGCACTCCGTTGATACACTCCTCAACCGGTGAGCAACCGATGCGAATGGATTGTCGACTGTTTGCTGCTGTTTCGAACTGTCTGCCCTTCAATTTCTGGATGGTTCTTACGGGAGAAACTTAGAGATAAAAGGGTTGCCCCGAGAGGCGAGGTCACGCGTCGCTTCCGAGAATCTTTTCAGTCGTTTCTGCAATAAAATAAAGTCGAGTGTGGACGGGTGGGAATAAGAGATTGTATAAACGGGTGTACTAAAAGGTAGACACACAACAAGTAATAATAAATAGACTGAGGATTTTTATGCAAATATGAAACCATGGGCGTAGCCAGGTTATCAGTCGGGGTGGGGGCAAAAATATTAACACATCGAATGCCACAGTGGAAAAGGCTGTACGTAGCCAGACATTTTAACACCCAATTGTTATTTCAGTAGTATCTGAACAAACTTGCGAGTCACTGTATATGAGAACGACAGATAATTCTACTTTCATCTAACAGACTAACCCGAAATCATGCACTCTACCATCTGTTAAGCATCCACATCTACAACACACACCCAAACCTTGCATTCCTCGCTCTCGAACTGCACAACATTCCTAGAAATTCCAATCACCCGGTACCCAGCCTAAACAGTCCCACGAAACGAAACAGGACGTCATTCGCACTTCCCTCTTGGAAACCTCTCTCGCTCAGCTACAATCATACCCACGACCGATCTACACTGCATTCGGTCACATACTCCAACCTATACCACACTCGTTCACATATCACAGTAATGTGTGCATTTTTGTGGTCGTAAATGAGACTAGAATTTTCCATACGAGTGTGCACAGTACAGATTGAAATACTTTCTACGGTCTTTTAGCTAACGAGGTCGTTCCACTTTGGAAACTTCATTAGAACGGCGGCTAACGACATCAACGATCATCGATTAAAGCTTCGACCGTCCCATATTCCACAAACCTTAGATTTTCCATGTTCTTTTGTCTCGGCTCGTAATACAGTAAATCCTTGATGAGTGTTCGAAGACTCCTAGGCACTGACAAGGAGACGTCCCCAGGTGTAATGCTGACTTTTTAATCAGATTTAGCAAATTGATAGAGCTTGAAATTCTGAAGCCAATGATATTTGTCTCAGCCGCACACGGCCATTCAATATCGAGGAGCCTTCAAACACTGATCGAGGATTTACTGTATACAGTAACGCTCGGAACATTGTATTAACGTCCATCGGGAATTTCTCTCCGGGACACAGACAGTCGTAAACGAAGTTCGTTGAAAAGTCACGTTTTTTCCGGGGGGCCGAGGATTGAGGAACGGATCGGTCGAATTTATGCACAGCGGATGTGCAGGCTTCCGAACGTGCAGCTGACGCGGAGGAGAGTCCAACCGGCGAATTCGTTGAACCGTATTCCTGGTGGGTCTTTGGGTAAACTTCAAACACCTCTGTTTTTGCCGGCGACTGTGACCATGGATCGAACAAAAGGGGCGGGGGGTGAAAGGGCAGGGGTTGAGTGAGGGAGAATACCCGGGAGAAACAAGGAAACACGTTTCGAGGGCGTAGTAACGAACATTTTGCATCTATTGTGTCGCGCAGCGGGAATTTCTGTTTCAACGTTTCCCGAGAATTTTTCATCGCGCCGTCGTACGCGCGCGCGCACCCACCACGCTCTCTTTAATTAAGCCACGGCGCGTGCACAAATTCGTTAATTAACTTTTATCCGGAGTATCGTCTAAAACCATGTTGTACGCCCTTACTGGAATACACGGGACACAATAGCAACGTTGACACGGTGTGACAAGTATTTAAATACGTCGACGAGTATATGTATATTTGTCGGTTACATGAGATTCCGTCGCTTTCACTGATTTTCCAACAGCAAATTTTCCACCCGAAACGGTACAATCGAGACCCAAATGAAAAGTTCCTTCGAGTGAACCCTCGATGAGTGTTCGAAGGCTCCTCGCCACTGAAGATTAAATATTTCCTGAACTAATAGTCACATGTGGCTGAAACAAATATTATTGGTCTCGGAATTCCAATCTCTATCACTGTGCTAAACTTCATTAACCTCTTAGCTGTGAGTGACGAGTATACTCATCATGAAGAAATAGCAATTTCTTTACGTAACAACAAGTATACGCGTCATGTAAAAGAAATAATTACCATTTGTAGGTAAGGAGACACAGCTAGGAGGTTAAAAAGTCAGCGTTACACCTGGGAAAACCTGTCCTTGGTACAGACGAGAAGTCTTCGAACACTAACCGAGGATGTACTGTACATCCAGAAACAGGAATCCCAACGTAACGAGGACGTTGGACAGTCTGCTGCTGCGCTAGCTCGATCGGACATT